TAGAGTGTTTAGGGTTTTGGGGGTTTTGGGTCTGGGGTTTGGGGTTCAGGGTTTAGGGTTTTTGGGGGTTTAGGGTTTAGAGTTTTGGGTTTTTCGGGCTAGGGTTTAGGGTTTGGGGTTTAGAGTGTTTAGGGTTTTAGGGTTTGGGGTTTAGGGCTTGGGGTTTAGAGTTTAGGGTTTGGGGGGTTTAGCGTTCAGGGTTTGGGGTTCAGAGTTTTGGGTTTGGGGTTTTGGGGGTTTAGGGTTTGGGGTTTAGAGTGTTCAGGGCTTTGGGGGTTTAGGGTTTAGGGTTTGGGGTTTAGAGTGTTTAGGGTTTTGGTGTTTTAGCGTTCAGGGTTTGGGGTTCAGAGTTTTGGGTTTGGGGCTTTGGGGGTTTAGGGTTTGGGGTTTAGAGTTTTGGGTTTGGGGTTTTGGGTTTAGGGTTTGGGGTTTAGAGTGTTTAGGGTTTTGGGGGTTTAGGGTTTAGGGTTTGGGGTTTAGAGTTTTTCGTTTTGGGTTTGCGGTTTATGGCTCCAGGTACCTATATAGTATATACTTGGGCCTTCAAGTCCCTACACAGGAGCTGCTTTAAGGCTTAAATACCTACTATATATAGGAACATGGTGCCCAGTGTTTATTGGCTCCCTGAAGGGCTCCTAAAAAGGTTCAGGTTTGGGAGTCCTATGCATGAGGATTCAGGTGGTGCTCTTCTTCATGTCGTCATATGGGGGTTCAGGGTTTAAGGGTTTGGGGTTCAGGGGGGTTTTGGTTTGGGATAGAGAATGATACAGGGTTGTGGATTTCGGGATTGATGGAAAGTTTAAAGGGTTAAGGATTTTCTTCATGTAACCTACGGGTCTGAATGTGCAATCATACGTAGGGCCTGTTTAGTAGCCCCCAAGAACTCCCAAAACCCCAAACCCTAATCAATTTCCCTGCCAATCCTGGCTCAAAAATCCCCACCTGTTGGGGCATACTTACTTGCCTGAGATTGTGAGTTTTGAAGGGACAGGGGTTTGTGAAAAGGATGGGTTTAGGGTTTAGGGTGTCTACCTTGAATATGCCAGGGCAGGGCAGTGTAGCAGCGCCCTCATTCGTTGCAAAGGAAACCATAAACCCGAAACCCAAACCCCGAAACTACGGTGGAATCCTTAACCCGAAGCCCCAAACCCCCTACCGAAACCCGAATGCCGAAACCCTTTGCCCTAAACCTTGAACCTTAAGCCCTCAATCGTAATTCTGTCACCCTCAAACCCAAAAACCCTAGACCCCAAACGTTGAACCCTAATCTCAAAACGCTTTTCAGGAGTGCAACCGCGCTGGTGCATGAGACTGCACTGATCTTCCACGGCAAGGCCTCAGAGTGCGTTTCTGGGGTAACTAGGGTTTCGGGCGTAGGGCCCAAAGGCCTTAAGCTTTCGGTTTAGGGATTAGGGGTTTGGGGTGTAGTGTAAATAGGGTGTAGTGTTTGGGGTTTAGGGCTTCGGGTTTAGGGTGTAGTGGTTAGGATTTAGGACCTTGGGCTTAGGGTGTAGGTTTAGGGTTTAGGGTTTAGGGTTCGTCTACTGCAACATACCACGGACAGTTGAGGTCAAGCAGATACCCCACCCTAGAACGGAAAGAGCACCAAGGCGATACAAGAAGCAGGTTTACAGGGCGAAGGATTTGGATTTCAGAGTCGGGGGTTTGTTTGGGGGGGATTTCGCGAACTTAAGACCGTAATCATCACATTCCTGGCTAGACCCTTTACCCAAAGCTTCGTAATCAGTTTCTGCCTACAGCAATTCAGGGCATCGCGAAGAAGGTTGAATACTTTCCTTAATCTGCCGTTTTCAGGGACACCCTATGCGCCCAAAAGCCTGAACCCTAGAACCTAACAGCGCGCAAAACCCTATTCTAATTATTGAGGCCCCTACATTACCTTCCCACCTGAATCAAAGCCTATAGATTGAGGCAGCAAGCTGCTGGATGAAGGCCCACACCAGCCTCTGTAGCGAAGCCCACGCTGTATGACTACGCTTAAACTACTGGGGACAGGGTTTAGGGTTTAGGGTTGCAGCGCCGCTTGCATCCAGATGCGATGAATCCTGCCACCGTGTGAGTATTGCCTTCGCAAGTATGATTCACGCATACGAAGCCCACGATCCGGTGAATACCGAAGCAAAGGTACCATCGTCTTCGACTACGGCGCAGCCTACATGGGGATGCCGTAAAAAGCCCGAAGTGACCCCAAACCCTAATCCCGAAATGGCAAGCCAGTGAAAAGCACGCTACCAAACCTACCTTAGGGGTATGTAGTATATATCGGCTTATGATTATGAGCATGGTTTAAGCCTTGGTGGCATTTTGGGGCGCAGCGGTGGACTTCGTAAAGACCTAAAGCCCCGACCCCTTTCACGTAGCACCTTGTGACACAGTATGTAGGGATCCTTCAATGCAGCAAGTCCCGAAGCCCGAAACCCTACCTGGAGACTGTTTGGGGTCGTCCGGGCCCGAGGGGCTTTCGAAAGAGCTGACTCCTATGCCCTGGAACAATAAAACCCAGGACCCTAAGCTGTGAGCTTTAGCCGAACCAAAACCCTGATACCTGAGCCATAAACCCTGAAGACCTAGACCTCAAACACTGAGCTCCAAAACCTTGCAGCCTTCCTGGCCTTGATAGTTAGAATAGCGTTTCGGGGTTATACTGTACCATAACTATAATACGCAGCCCCCCTAAAAAGATAGCATAGGTAATTATTGAGGCCCTTATATTAGACTGTGTGTTCTCCCCGAAGGTGGCAACCATAGAGCGCCGTGGCAGCAACTGCTGGAAGATCGTGGCCTTTTTGCGACCTTGCAAGGGTTTTAGGGATGTTGAGGGCTTAGGGTTTAGGGATAGGGATGTTCAGGGTTTAGGGAAATCTAGGGCTTAGGGTTTAGGGATAGGGATGTTTAGGGTTTGGGGCCTTAGTTGTTAGATGTCGGGTTTGTGGTATATTGTAGCAAAAAAACTGTATCGACTACAAGGCAGTTCTACATGCTGCTGAGCCTTCAGACCCTTTGTGGCCTGTGGCCCACAGCTCCTTACGAGATTCAACACCCCACAACCTAGTTCTAATCGCGAAGGCCCTGAACTCCCTCAACCCTTAATCAACCCTTAATCCCCGAGAGGCTTAAGCCGCTAGACCCCGAAAGTCCTAAATCCTAGGGATCTTTCATGCTCCCTGCAACCATTAAAAATAAAAACAAACTCCAGGCTGTAGCCAAGTCTCGGGATGTCTCGAGCCAAGGAGGTGTTACAGGTTTCTCAGGAGTGGCTAGGGTGTGAGCTTGTTGGTTAGCTTTTGGGGTCCAGTTTCAGGCTTGGCACTTGGGCTTGCTTTGGGGTTTTAGGGTTTCGAGTCTAGGTCTATAAGGTCTCTGCTAATGAGTTAAGGCCCTCGGTGCTACTTCGGTTTCTAAGCCTCGGAGTCTGAGGAGGACAGCCTTCGACAGGCTCCTCAAAGAAGTGCTCTCTTGAGAACCATTGGGTTGCCGTGGGAGCGGATGCTTCTGGCTCATCCTTGTTTTGTCATTGGCAAAGCTGCGTACGGCTGGGTGGGAAGGTTTCCTACGCAGGGGTCTTGCGAAAGGCTTGTCACTTCGTTGTCTCAGGGATTTGGCCGGCACGGGACGGGTCGCTGCGAGAGACCACCGTAAGGTGTTTTATGGCGGTACGGTGCACCTGGTGTTGGCATGAAACCGTGCAGAAGAGCCACTTGCCGCCATTGCGGCCAGAATGGGGCCTGCTAGGCCTCACAGGCTTTGGCCTCTCTCTGCGGCACCATGGGGAGCACTGTCCGCCTGCACAGTCGCTGACTGATTCTAGTCTATTCGTATCTAGAATGTACATTAGCAGCAGACGTCTAGAGAACATTGGAATGTTCGAAACCAAGAACGTCAAGTAAACTAACGACAAAAGTCTTCAATCACAACATCCATGTGAAACATGATTCTCGCAAATTCACATCGCCCTGGCGTACGATTCTGTAGAAGTAGGGGCCCTATACCCTTATAATATGAAGCCCTATATGGTATATGAGCTTGAAACCTTTATGGGCTTCATTTCGTCTGAAGGTATCCTCCACGGTCGTTCTGTGGGTAGACCGGTTTTGTAGTTAGGACCCCACATGGTAGCCCAGAAAAGGAACTACAACGGAGAGTACAGATAAACCCTAGACCCTAAAACCTAAACCCTAAACCCTAAACCCTAGACCCTAAACCCTAAACCATAGCATGTAGAGTGGTTCGTTTTGGGGGTGGCGGCTTGGTGGCCTCGGGGTTGGCGGATTCTCGGCGTTGGTTCCGAAAGGTCTCGGGCGGGGTCGATTCTAAAACCCGGAAGCCTGGAACCCTTTAAGCCCTAAACCCCCGCACCCTACACCACTGGACCCCAAACCCCGAAACCCCAAGCCCTGAGTTGGTGAGGCAATCTGCCGAGATCGTGGCGGCCTGGGAGGTCAGGGGTATTTGGGGCCTGAGGGCGTTGTTTGGGGGCTTAGGGTTTAGGATTCATGGTGTAGGGTTTACGGCGTTTTTTTGGGTTTATGGTTTAGGATATTCGGTGTAGGGTTTAGGGATGTTTCGGGGGGTTTTGGGTTGTTTGAGGTTTTGAGAGTTTGGCCCAAGATGTATACAAACCACATTTTTAGGAGCCTTATGTATCCTCACCAACACCATATTGCAATACGACATGTAATCTCTTGAACCCCACCTCTTTTCAGTGATAAGGCCCCTGAAGCCCCAGAAAAACAACAACATCCCCAAACCGTAAACCCCAAGTCCCAAACCCTGAAACCTCATCCCAAAGGCCCCAAGCCTTAAAACCTAAACCCATAAAGCCTTAAAGTCCACACACTACGCATAACCCTTCCCACCAGCCATTGCAGGTCCGCAACCTGATGAAGAAAAGCCTTGTCGCCACGGCCTTGGCAGGTTTTTTAGGGTTTAATGTAGGAGCCTAAACAATTACCAATACTACTTTGGGGGTTCCTTGTTCTAACTATAGTACAATGGGCCAAAACCTTACTCTAATTCTTAGGGCCCTTTTTTAGGGTTGGCGGTACTGGTTTAGGGCTCGTGGAGGGCGGTGCACCTAAACCCTAAACCCCTGAACCCTAAATCCTAAACCCTAAACCCTAAACCCTAAACCCTTGAACCCTAAACCTGCTGTAAGGGACTGCTCACTGGCATACGATCTACCATGCTTAGAGGGTGGCGGCTGATTCTAGGATTCCAGGGGTTCAACAGAGTTTTGCAGGGTTTGTTCTTGAATTCTTATGAGGTTTAGAGTCCAGGCGTCGGATTTGAAAGTTTAGGGAGGCCAGAAGAGTGTCGGGGGGTTTGGGCTACGGTGCGTTTCGGACTTGATCTCGATGGTTTTCTTTAATAACGTTTGATATGTGTAACACGGAGGCTAGCAGTTAAACTTGTAAATCTCTAAGACTCCTACTAGCCGACTTTTCCGCTCAGGGTGCCTTCTAGTACAATCAAAAGCCTCCCCCTAATGTAAGCATATAACTCCAGGAAGTCCAACTGTTAAGGTACAAAAGCACGATGCAGGTTCGTTTGTGGCCTTTTGTTACACAGCTTATTTTGCTAGTATTGGTCTCCTGTTAGACAGCTTAGGCATGGGTGTTCAGAGTGCGCTTGGCTTGTGAACCGACGTCTGCCGCGAGTGGCGGACACGAAGGACAATAGATAATTTTGGCTTAAGCCTTAAATGAAGGTCCAGAAACATCTATGTAAGCTTCAGCCACAAATTCTAAATCGTATTAATTTAAATAAACCCAGGAGCGTCAGGCTCCGCACCCCAACACTCTGCAAGAAAGAGCTCCAACATCCCAGACGCCCTGAATCTTCAAGGCCTCCACCCCGAAGACATGAGGATGATTGTAAGTGCAAGACGCGCTGTCTACAGTTTAGGGTTTCAGTGTTGTGAAAGCAGCCCTAAACCCTAAACCCTAAACCCTAAACCCTAAACCCTAAACCCCAATGCCCGACTGAGAAGGTCTCAGGAGCAAACCATAAGGGTCCATCGTGCAACTGTCCTAAATACTAGCCGATCCCTGGGACTCCAAATAGCCCAATGTAGGTACTATTTACAGACTTTAGACCCCAAAGTAGGTACTATTTGATCACTTGGAGCCGTAGGGGATAACTAAAAGTATTCCTAAACCCAGGGTACTGAAATATAGGATCCTTACCACCATTAGCGAGTTTAGCATCAAGAATGCTGCTGGCACCTGCCTCGTAACAGAACAGGTGGCCTACCACAAGCTCCTCCTGGATGCCGTGAGGCTGCAGGGTTGCAGTTGGACAGTGGGGGAACCGACCAGGTCTCTGAAACCTAAGGCCCACATCGTAGGCCCTTCATATGAAGCAGCAAGGCTCATGTAATTGAGGTCTTGGGGTATATTATGGTAGAACTTCTGCAAGAACTAGGAGGGAGGTACTATCGCTGGTTATTCCGAGCCCAACATGTGAAATAACTTACTATTTAGGTACCCGGAGGGCTTAGTCTGGAGTAGTTGCCGCACTGCCATAAGCACAGACGATTGAGACTAATTAAGTAGCCGATATAGAAGCTCATGATAGCTTCGGAACACCATCAGCAGTACCCTTACCCCCAAACCCTAAAACCATCAACACCAAAAACCAAACCACTAACACCGTAAACTACCACAGCGACAATAGTACTGCGGTGCTTCTCGAAACCCATAACACCGTAAACTACCACAGCGACAATAGTGCTGGGGTGCCTCTCGAAATCCCTCATCGCCTGGACGGAACGAATGAGGCTCAAACACCCGAATCCAGAAACCTCCAACAAACAAACTCACCTCCGAACTTCCTTCGAGACCAGAGCTCCGTAATATAGGGTCGAAGCAATTGCCAATACTGTTCTTCTGGGTTCCTTAATCTATCGAACAACTACCCGCAATCCCCATTCTAGGCCCCATATTCCGACATGTCTATCGGATCTTTTTCTGGTATATGAAGCACTGTTGGCCAGTATGAGTGAAGTAGGGCTTGTATGGTGGGTGCATAGAGAGCCGACAGGGCTCCTTGGAAATGTTGTGTGAGTGAACATTTGGGGTGTCAATATGAGCATATACGACTAAGCCGGAACCAAAGTTCCCACTTGATATGATTTTCCTAGACCCTATAGACCCTAAACCCTAAACCCTGCAAGCCCTAAACCCCAAACCCTCAAACCTGGTCTTTCCGACCCTAAAACCTAAACCCTAAACCCTAAACCCTAAACCCTAAACCCTAAACTCCCCCAGGTCATTGGTTCATTTCCGCCTGGAGCCTCAAGTGCTCCCTACGCCCGCAGCGCGTTCGGCAGCGGAGGGCGTCGCCGCCGCGGCCGCGGGTGTCTCGGTGAGGTAATCCCCAAGGGTCCATGTGCTCATATAGTATATATACATTGGCCTTAATGTAGTCCCTATATAGGTACTTTAGGGCCCATTTATATGCTATATGAGTACATGGACCCTTAAGGAATGGGATGACCCTAAACCCTAAAGCCTAATGTAGTGGCCTTAATAATTAGAATAGGGTTTTGGGGGCTCCTTGTTATAAATATACCCCAAACCCTATTCTAACTATTGAGTCCTCGATATTAACGCAGGGTCAACCCTTCAGCCTTTTACCCACTCGGGGTTGGAAAGGGTCCCTAACTACTAAGGTTTAGTGCCCCTTGACATGTTCCATGTCATAACGCCTGAACCTTAAACCCTAAAGTCCTAAACCCTAAAAGCCTAAGCGTAAAGCCTAAACCCTAAACCCCTGAAGCCTAAAAGCCTAAACCCTAAAGCCCTAAACCCCTGAAGCCTAAAAGCCTAACCGTAAAGCCTAAACCCTACTGAGGTCTGCCCCTAGTCTCACCGGCAGCCCCTTGCTGTTGCTTACCCATAGATCTCAAAGAACTACCCATATATGAACCCGAAAAGGAACTACTGTAGGGCCTATTGGTAATTACACTGTGTGGGGATTCTAAGCCTGGAATTGGTCGTCCAAGAAAGAGAAGTAGAACAGATACCAAAAGTGTTAGTTCTCCAAACGAGGGCCCTTTTGTGGGCCCCCAATACGGCGCCCTCATGAAAAGGACCTTGAAAGGGACTTTAATTAGTTCACCAAGACCCTCCAAGTACCTTCAAATAGGGGTATATGGTCCCAAATTAAGGGTATTTAGGCTCCAATAGAGGGTAGATGGAGGGTCTAGGCAGAGAACTACCCAAAAGGCAAACCGGCAACTCAGGTCCATGCCCTGTCCCAATCCTGGCGGCGGAAGCAGAAGTCGGTTGCCAAGGGACCGCGGCGGAGACGAAGACCGCTCCAGAAGGTCCTCTCTGCTCAGGTTTGCGATCTTCAGAAATAAAGTTTAGGGTTTAGGGTTTAGGGGTTTAGGGTTTAGGGGCTTAAGGTTTAGGGGTTTAGGGTTTTAGGTTTTAGGGTTTAGGGGCTTAGGCTTTAGGTTGTAGGCTACAATGCTGCAGACCCAAAACCGCCGAAGACCTAACTCCTAAAAGGGCTGAGGGCCTTGCTATGGTTTTTGTAATGGTAAGGCAGTGTTTGAGGTAGCGCAGTGTTTGAGGTAGCGCTTTGCCAAGGGTTTCGCAGTAAAGTTCGGTTGATGCTTGCGTTTTTCTTGGGAGTTGACGCCTTCGAGTGGTTTGTTCGATTGGAGTTTGGGTGTGAGGGTTTAGGGTTTAGGGGTACGGTTGTTTGTCCTTGTTGTTATGGGGTTATTGTCACTTGTCTTATTCTTTGGTGTTGTACGGTGTGTCTGTGAAAATAAGTGCTGCGAGGGCTTTGCACCAAAACAGCGAAAGTCAGAGTGTCGCAGCACTAAACCAAACTGTCTTGGCGCGCAACGCCAAAGACGCTGAACCCTAAACCCTTTAAAACAAGCCTGAAGCCTACATCCTATGCTGAAGTACCAAAGCCTACGGTTTTGTAGGATCCCTACAACCTATGTTTTTTTGGGTTGAAGAGACCCTAAACCCTAAAACCTAAACCCTATTAAGTGGTTTAAGGCATATAAGAAGCCCTCAACAAAATCGAAGAGCCACGTGTTACGGCCCGGGGCTTCAGGAAACATTGGATTAGTCTCAGGGTTCTGGGGCTGGAGTTTCGGGGCTGCAGTTTAGGGACATTACAAGGTTAGAGTTTCGGAAACATTTTGGACAGCAAGGATACCTCTTCAACTTTTGCAAGGGAGAATGCTTGGTTTGATATGTTGGTGTCTCTGGGTATGGAGTGTCGCGGCGAAACAATACATTTCAAGTGTTTCGTGCCTAGCATTTGGGACGCCAAACCTTGCCTGAAGCCCCAAAAAGCCTGTACCGGATTCGGGATAAAGACTGCTTGCCATGGCTCCTCGAAGAGGCGCGCCGTTTGGAGGTTCAGGTAAACCCGGCGCTTCTATGAGTTTGTGTCATGTCCAGAAAGATTTGTTCTATTGTCCATATCGTCCTACCTGCCAAAACCCTACAGCCTAACCCCTAAACCCAAACCCCTAACCCCTAAACCCAAAAATCGCTGACATCGGAACCCCCCACGCAGCCTTCGACAAAACCAAACCTGCCCACAAGAGATCCAGGCCCGATTCTGCCGTCATCAAGCGCGCGAAGAACCCTCTTGGACTGATGAAGCCCTTACAAATCCATTGTTATACATACGTATCCCCCTAAAGCCCCAGAGCTCGATACCCTAAGCCCTAAACCCCTATGCAAGTTATATAGCTAAGCTACTACAGAATCCCAATTTGCCAGGCCCAGCAGAGCACGATAAGTACAGCGCTGTGGCCGAAGAGTGCCGGCCCTCCGTGCACCTTGCCCTGGATTTTCAGTGCCCTAAACCCTAAACCTGAGACCCTGATGAAGCCTAAACCTTGAATCAAGGAGCGTCCAAGAAAACACTCTAAACAAAAACCCTATGCCCTTCAACACTATAGGCCTGAACTCGAAATTTGATGCAGGGTCTAGGTTTAGGAGATAGGTTCTTCGAGAATTTGTGGGGACGGGTCTGCGCACTTCTTAGGGCTTGGGGTTGGGGCTGCAAGGGGTGGCGTAGGCACCGTCGAGGGTAAGTCTTCCCGCCCCAAAGGCCCTGCCCTGGATTTTCAGAGTTTAGGGTTTGGGGTTCAGCGTTCTTAGATCCTCCCAGGCCCCACCCCAAATGCTAAATCCTAAATCCTGCAAGTGTTTGCATGAGTGCGGGGGCTTAGGGAGGGTCAGCTTAGTTCCCATGGCCCTGGCTTTAAAGCCCAAACCATGAGCCCGACAAATCCTACAAGCCCCAAACCTGAATCCTCAACCCCTTAAGCCTCAGCCCTAAACCCTACAAGCCCTAAACACCAACCCTTGAGGATTGTTGGTGCACACCTGCTGGGCATGCAAGATCTCCTCCGCGACCTCGAGGCCTGACGCTGTGAGCTTGAAAAGACATAAGCATACGCATTTTTTAGGGATATCCCTACCTTGTTGGGCTGCATTACAAGGGGGTTTGTATGGGATATCCCTATCCTAATTTTTGCTTACGAGCTTTTTTGGGGCCCTACTACAGGGTTTTATGGTTCAGGTTAGAGGGCTTCAGTGGGTTGATGATTCTGGTAGGGTTTTAGGGTTCAGGGATTTCGGGGTTTAGGGTTCTATTCGGGTTGTGTGCTTTTGGGGTTTAGGATTTAAGGTTCTGCTACATGCTACACGGTCTTAGGGTCGGGATTTGGTGGGGTTATAGGGTTCAGGGAAAGGTTAGGATTCTATTCGGGTTTTCGGGTCTAAGGGGTTTGCAAGTTTTGCAGCTTTCCAGTCTTTGGATGTTATCTCGCTGGTGTGGTGTTCGAGATCTTCCGGTTCGAGCGCTTCTTTAGTTCAGCCTGCAATCGCTTTAAGGGTTTAGGGCCTAGGGTTTGGCGACGGACAGCTGGTGTAGTTAGCAAGTTTGAGAGGTGAGAGATCACCTTACAAACCCCATAACGTGTTCTACTCCCTGCCTCAGGCACGTGGCCTCCGCCTGCTCGAGCGCGAGGTCCTTGCCGACACTGCACCAGATCTGATTCTGGGCCCTCGCTTTGGCTCCTGGGACTTTGTTTGGTTACATGTAGGAACCCTATACCCTGAACCCCTAAACCCCTAACCCCTAAACCCCTAAACCCTAAACCCCTAAACCCTCAGGGAGTCTAGGGTCTCGGGTTTTAGTGTCATGGGCTCGCGCTTAAGTTCAGGATTTAGGGTCTGGGCCCTGGGACCCACGAACTTTCTGCAAGAACGGCATGAGCCCTGAAAGCATTTCAGGCTCAACTACCATGTATACTAGTGGTATTAGGGAGACCCCTCAAAGGATACCCTTCTTTACCCTACTTATGGCTCGCTTAAAAGGGACCGTACGGAGAGGGTATATCTCCCAAAGGCTCCCCTTAATCGTAACCCCTCATGCAGGAGTCCCGAGTCTGTAGGGTTGCGCTTTGGCTCCTGGCATTTGTCTGGCACTGGAAATTTGATGAGGGTTGGGGCTTAGGGTTTAGGGTTTAGGGAGTGCCACTGGAAATTTGATGAGGGTTTGGGGCTTAGTGGAGGTCTGAAGAAGTCGTAATCGTCGAGCGTATTAGTCACTTCATATGACTATGACTATACTTTCATATACGGCATGGCCGTGCTTGGTGCAGTAGAGCTGTTAGTTACAGCGTAGTAAGGGGCCACCTCTCTTTCTAGTCCGTGTATGTATATATATATATATATTGTGTATAGAGGCGCCTACGTACATACATACTCAGTTACTTACACACGTGTGTATTTATATAAGTATAAATAAACAAATAAATAAATAAATAAATAAACATAAATATATATATATATATATCAATAGGTTCGTTCATTCATTCATTCATTCATTCATTCATTCATTCATTCATTCATTCATTCAGTCAGTCAGTCATTCCTTCATTCATTAATGCATGCATGCATTGATGCATTCAGTATTCGTACATTCATTCATTCATCCATTCATCCATTCATCCAATCCGTTCAGTCCATTCCATTTCATTCCATTCCATTGCATGATTGGTTCATTCCATTCATGTAGGCATGCATGCATGCATTCATTCACTCATTCATTCTCATGTACCCCCCTGTCCAAGTTGTGCTCAATCCCTTGTATCGAAACCTTTCTGAAACCCGCTCAAAAACTATTCTTTCCGGTCTTTTAGAGACGCGAAATCCTGCAGAAATGCGTTGATCCGGAGTTTAGCAAGAATCACGTCAGAAGAGCACACTTTCGGGTGGGATAAAGCCGGCACTTTGGGACATCCCTACCTTGTGGTTGTTCTTTGAGTGTTTTTGTGGATTTGTTTTCTTATGTACATCCATACATTCACTTTAAATCTCCTGAGGAGTGTTCCTGCGGAGCTTGCACGTGATCTCCAGCCAGCAGCAAGAGCTTTGTGCCCCTTGGAGTGTTTTTGTTTCAGGGTGCGGGGCACTCTTTTCTCATGTCAGTGTCCTGTTAAGGGAGATTGCTTCGTTCTACTTGTGGTTAAAGCGTCGTGTCATGGGTCGGCATGACAACGGTGAAGTGTTTGGAGTTCTCGATTGAGGTTCTAGAAGCTAGATCATGCCTGGGCATCCAACAACCTACCGTTTTTAAGGGTTAGACCCTAGAAGTAAGGGGTTCAGAACCTACTATTTCGTAGGGTTTTGGGGGATACAGGTGTCAGAAGGTCCCTGGCAGATTTCTGTGTGGTGGAGTCTCGAGGAGGTCTTCAACGAGGGTTTCGGGTGTACTATAGGGGCCTGAATATTTACCTACACTACTCTGGGGGGGGGGGGGTAGTCCTTATTATATAACTATAGTATAATATACCCCAAACCCCTATTCTAATTATTAAGGCCCCTACCTATAGTCTCCAATGTAGTTCCTGTTTTTGCTTTAACCACATATATATATATATACTCAGGATTTTAAAAGGTAACCCCAAAAAGGAACTATAAGGTAACCCCCAAAAGGAACTACAATGGAGACTGTAGGTAGATTAGGGTTCAGGCATCGAGTCATCGACACCACCACAGCATCCCCAAGTCCTGTTCTCGAGAGTCGTTGCCCCGGGGCCGAGGTCGTTTTCAGGGTGTCGCGAAGCCTTGCGAGCAGTAATGTAGGGGCCTAAATAATTACCAACAGTATACCTTAGGACCTTAGGGATTCGCATTACAATTATAGTATAACACATATATATATATATATATTATCAGAACCCTACTCCATTTCGTAAGGCCCCTAAATCATTCGGGGGGCTTTCTTAGAGTTGAGACAGTTGAGGGTTTGGGGGTTTGGCGGTCCAGGGCTGCAGTTCCGGGGAGTGGTGTTCTTGAGGTTTATGACGGTTTAAGTTAGGGTCGCGACTTTCCAGTTGTAGTACTGTAGTACGGATATCCCTGGAAAGCAGCAAGAAGAAAACCAGAAACTCCAAGCCGAAGCGGCGGTAGGCTATGAAGAGCCAGATAGCACCAGTCTGTCTCGTCAGCAATGATAGATAGAAGTAGTGAGGAATCTCAGCAACAGTGTTGGTGGTGGTGGTAATTACCGCCAACACCAGCAACGACGACGACCACGCCTTGACAACGACTACTACTACTACCAGTGGTAGTAGGAGTACGCATGCGAGTACGAGTACTACTACTGCCACTACAAATCATAATGCTGCTCCTGCTGGAACTACCACCACCGCCGCCGCTGTACCCAAAGCTTTGAAGCCCAGAGCCCAACACCTGTTACCCCAAACTCTAGACCCTATAAAGCCCTAAACCCTAAAGCCCTATAAATACCTTCATCCTAAAACCTTAAATACTAATACCTGAACCCGAAACCCTAAAGCCCTAAAACCTTCATCCTAAAACCCTAATACTATTACTTGAACCCTAAACCCCAAGTCTTTGAGCCCTGAACCCGAAGCCCAAGACCCGAGCCTCAGGAGCGGCTGCAGCAATCTTTTACTTCCTTCGACGAGGTGCTCCTGATCTTAGTGCCGTCCTCGGAGCTCTGGGATTTAGGGGGCTTGGTCGGGTCGGTGCAGGGCTTATCCGGCGTAGCCGTAAACCCTGAACCCTAAACCTTAAAACCGGTTCAGGGTTCGGCAATTCGCTGCAGGCTTTGGCGAGTTTCGACGAGGTACGGTTTACGGACCAAGGCTCCATTCAGAGCTTTACCTTTAGTGTTCTGAGGTTTTTTGTTTAGATCTTTAACGTAAGGAAGTTACGAGGTACGGCAAGCAACACATTTTTTGCGGGTTCTGCTGGCGGCCAACCTAACCTTGAACCCAAACCCTCATAGCTTCGGTGGGAACCCCTGTCCCTAAAAGTCGTCATGAACCGCCAAACGCTGGCTTCAATTACGCCCCTGAGGCTTGCGATGGTTCATGAGCCTGGCTTTGTTATCATCAGTGGGCTTAGGGCTTACAGGGGTTCTATATGGGGCTACAAAAGCTAAAGGACTTACAGGCTGAGAAGGACTTTGGGTGCCTTGCTGCCTGCATATCACAATAGCTCCACCTTTCGAAGCCTTCAAGCCACGGTTTAGGGTTTGGGGTTTAGGGTTTAGGGTTCAAGCAGACTATGAGCACTCAGAGGCCCTGATAAGCAACAAAGCACCCTGGACCCTGAACCCCATAAGGAAAAAAGCTATACAAAACAGCCAGGAAGCCTGAACCCAAAGTCCGATCCTGAAGGTGTCCGAGCTTGATTCGCCGCAGGACACCTGAGACTTGGGGTGTTGGGCCTTAGCTACGTGTTTATCTGTTAGCTGTTCTTTGCTGGGTGGTTTTGGTGCATGTTGTGTTGAAAGTTTGAGAGTTTAGTTTGTTTTGTTGATTTCGGCTTTAGGGATTTACTGCTTGACGGCGCCGTGTATGGGATTACTGGGCCTTGCCGACGCTGGTGCACCATTAGTACTTACTTATTGTTTTTGCTGAACAGAACAGCTCGCATGGTTTTTTTGAGTGGCAGAGTGGGGATTTGGCGGGGCGGGAGGGGGGGGGCGGTTGGCGGCATGCTTGATTTATGATTTCTTCCAAAGACACAAGGGTGGGGGCGGGCGTTTGGGGTTTACAGCGTGTGGCTCTCGGTCACTTTGCCAGCCCGGGATTTCGATCTTTGGGATTCCACGTTTGGGTTCGGGTTCAGGTTCACCATTTACCGGCAGTGAAGAATCTGAGGTTCTTTTGGGTTGGTTGCTTTGTGCTTGGACTTAGGGGTCGTGCAGTAGTATGTATGTGGAAGCTAGCGGAAACCGCGCAAAGCTCAGGTGAGTGTTCTGGGTTAGGCTTGGGTGTCAAGGGTTCCCTAAACCCTAAACCCTAAACCCTAAACCCTAAACCCTAAACCCTAAACCAGTTGAGGGTTAGGAGTTGGGAGAATGGACTTCAGCATGTTGCTGGGGTTCAGGATGCCTGTCGGTTTATGCACACACACAGAGAGGTGTACATAAGTTTGTGTATGTCTGTGTACATATACATATGTAGTGTGTATATATATATATATATGTTATATTCTATATATGTAGATTACAGCATTTGTATCTCCGTATCTGTTCACACGTTTGCATGCGCACATGCATACACAATACACAAAATGATAGCTACACCCTAGAGACATGGGGCCACACCTGAAGGGCGGCTTGGACAAGAAACAAAGCCAATGCTTCACTCCTTCGCGTTTAGCGTGCTTTTTACGACTTCCTGGTATTGAATAAGTTTAGTTTAACGCTTGAATAGATGAGGGTGGCCTGGCCGCAACATCACAGCAAGTCCTGAACTCTTCGACGTCACGATAACCTTGCCGACCATACCCCTAAACCGCAACACCTAAACCAGAAGCCCCGATATAACCCTAATCAAACTTCAAACCCTAAGCCGTATACCCTAAACTTTAAGCCGTAAACCCACACCCTGAACCATAAAGCCTGAACCCGAAGCCCTCAACCCTAGTTAAACCCTATCAGCCCTAAACCCTCAACGCCTCAACCCCCACCCCTAAACCCTAAACCCTAAACCCTGAACCCTAAACCCTGAACCCTAAACCCTAAACCCTAAACCCTAAACCACGCCAGATGTGAGGACTCTTCCTGGAAGGACTTCGCTGCGTCGCTGCAACGGGCTGGCCGCGGGAGGGCCCTGCGAACAAGCCAGCTTACTGAATTGCTGAGTTGGGGTTTGGGGTTAAGGGCCGGTTAAGGGTTTAGGGTTTAGGGTTTAGGGTTTAGGGTTTAGCGAACAAGCCAGCTTACTGAATTGCTGAGTTGGGGTTTGGGGTTTATAGGGTTTATAAGTACGGTATAGGGTTATTACTGAGTTGGGGTTTAAGGCTTTATAGGTA